CCTCAAAGTTTGATGCAAAAACGCATGATCGCACCAGCTCGCCTGGTGCGTTCCAGCCTGGGTTGTATTTGAATAAATGCGAGAGAACCATAACAATGTTTGAAGTTCCACCAAAAAGTATGTATAAACTTTTTCAGCGCGGATTCTCTCACTCATTTTCATCTCTTTGCGTACATCATCCTCTTTGAATGTCTTTTTAGTTTTTTTTTTTTCTTTTTTTTTTCTTCAGCTCTCACTTTAGCGGTGATGCGACAGCAATAAGTCTATCGATGGCAAGAAAAAGTATTGCAATGCCAGCCATGTTAAATGAAAAGCCCATCAGAAAAACCGAACGTTGGCATTTAATACGTGTCATCAACGATTTACCCAATAATATTTCGGCTGTACTCTTCGACCGGTGCATTTCACAAATCTGCAACACTTCTTTTTTCACAAAAAATCAGAATTTAGATCTGTTGGTGTGGGACTTATTTTAATGTAATTATCAAATCCCATCTTTTGTAATGCATGACTAGTTACAGTAATCTATTTCATATCTTTAACATATCTTACGCACTTCTATCTGCTGGCTGTTTCATTTCAAAAAATAATTCGCACAATTTTCTTTTCATCAGCCTTCTATCCACGTTACTTTCTTACCTACCGAAGAAAGCAGTACGTTTCTCCAGTTCCGAAGAGGACCAATTCTTTCTATTGAGGCCTACCTTCCTTCCTTTCGGGGTTTCTTATATTTGAGAATCCACTTGGTCATCCATATGGAGTTCTTCACGCTTTTCTAGGTGGTTATCTGTTGATTCTTGGCGTTATATCGAGCTCAAACGTTAACCGACGTCATCAGATTCTTTTAAGCTGATGGCATCGGTAACGTTTAACATCGGTTAACGATTCTTTTAAACATTACTCATTTACAGCCTTTCGCATCACAAAACACAACATATCCCAACACTCGCGATCCAACGAAGTCTTTACTTGATAGGAATTAAATTCAGTTTGAATTCTTTTTTCGTTTTCTTTTTTCATGACTGTAATAGTGTAATTTGACTTACAAAATGCAGAAACGCAATAATTCCGACTAGAATACCGTTGCGTTGCTGTAGCTGTTTGTGTTTCAGCGTTGCATAAATCAAATGCAAATTACCAAACATACCAAGTATCAGCAGTGGTACCGACATAATTGCGCCTATTTCCATCGGCCGCATTTTTTGTTTCTGTTACCCCCTAAAGCTGATATTTTTATGTTATCTTCAGCTTAATCGTCGCGCCATTGATACAGCTGGCAAATCCTCCATTCTTCTTTATTTTGAACTTTCCACATTCACATAGCCCGCGTAGTTGTTCAAGAAGATCCTTTCGGCCCACAGGCAGCCTTCCTATATTCTTTTAAAAATACACTGATGACATTTTTATAATTTATTTCTTCATTTATTGTCTCTAAATAAATGTTACTGCTATACGATTTCGTGATCGTACAGACCCTTAAAAAGCATCAGAAAAGAAAATTAATATCTCGGTTGTCACCAATCATAAGCTGCGCAAAAGCACC